TGTGCACTTTTACTCCCTGAAGTGGATCCGACGGCGGATGAATCCAACGGCACGCGACTGTGTTGACGATTTGTGGAAGGACACTGTGTTACGATTCGTCATTTAGACGAGCGATGGGAACGAAATGAATTTGCGGAACTCCGCACAGCATGCGCTGCTTGTGAAAAGGGCGGGTATTATTTGTAGAGCCATGGAGGGGCCTGTCGCGGGGTGGGCCGGCGGTGGTGGACAAGCCGTCAGTGCGTGGATGGCGGTTCATCGCATTGCCAAGGGCACGGAACGCCCATGAGGACGCCGGGGTCATGGTTGCTCTGCCATTTCACATTTCACAGTATCTTAGCGCATTATGGGACGAAGCCGCCGCTTTACTGGATGTGGATGCGCCTTTTTACAGGTAGCTCTTTTGGCGGATATGCACGGGCGAGTTTTGGCTGTCGAGTGGGATTTGTGGATCTTGTGGAATTGACTCGCCCCCACACGGGCCACGAGTGTTGTCCGAAAGTTCCCCGCACCACCGCGAGGGTCTTGGCGGAAGACCCCGAGATGGTAAGACCGCAGTCTGTGGCGCCGCGCGTGGTAAGGAGACTTCTGTTGGGATTAGCAGTATCCGAACCAGCGGGCGGCGGAGGAGCGTGGTTCGACGGGACCAATGTGCGGCCAAAAAGTGGCGCCAACAGGAGAACAGGAGGTCCTTGCCAAGTGGTGTGGATCTATTGGCTTATCGTTCAGCCGCGAGACGAAGAGCGCCGCCTTGAGGCACGATGCGAATACGAGGATTGAGGGAGGCCGCGTTTCTCCGAAAGCATGCAGCTGAGGGTGTGGATGGTGTGGCCCCCGTACGATGCTGCGCGGCGGTGCGGTGAACATTTCTTGAAAATACTTTTAAAAACGGAGGATTAATCCGTGTATTTGATTGCAGAAGCATTCTGAACGAGCAGGACTGGGCATCCTCACATGTGTGTCGATGATTTGACCGTTTTGCACCCATTGGTTAAAGGAATGATGCGCTTGGAAAGCCTTAGTGACGAAGCTGTTGCTGTTGATGAGCTTTTGCGCAATCACCGTGTGCTAACCAAATGGCGATACGTGAACTTAGAAGGCTTCCTTTGAGGAAGTGCTATTAGGGGTATGGATATGGAGAAGAGGGACTTTGGGTGGCGGTGGAGTGCGCATTAGGTAACTGTCTTTTTGCCATTACCTAGCGGTCATTAGAAATGAGGAGTTGTTTTTGAATCTGTGTTGGGTATTGCATTAATGTGCGTGAGTGAACAGTGACGATACGGGGAAAATACATTGTGATCCCTCTATTCTTCTCATTTTTTAAAGGGAAAAGTGGGGCATAGAATATTCTTGTGTTTATTTATATATTTTTTTTTGCGTGCGTATTTTGTTTTCTTTCTTGTTTTCTGGCCACCCATACGTGCATACTTTAAGCGTCTGCAGCTAGCAAAGGTGTGGTGAAGAGATGAGGATGCCTCTCTGTCTTCTCATGTGTCTGGCCGTTATCATCATTGGCGTTGCGGCGGTCGATTTTTGTCCCGAGGATGGTATTTTGTACCCTATTGCAGTCGGGGATACGGTGTATGGTCACGTCAGCAGTCCGACCGGTGAGTCGTGCGCGCACGCGTCACTGCGCATACTCGTGCCGCCTCCTCCGTCAAACCTTCTCCTGCTGACCGGCGGGTGGCAGTATCTTTTTGGCGCGGTGGTCGAGGGTGCGCTCCCCGCTAAAGTGACATTTTCAATTATTGCTCTCTGCGACGGTATTGAAGTTTGCCGCGCAAATATTCGCTATGAGGTTGACCCGAACGCCTCGACGAATGTCCCTCCGACGCCCACGGAGTCTTCAAAAACCACGACCACAACGAAATTGCCATTGTACCCGCCGTGCGCTGCATCTCAGGACGAATATCAACTGGTGATTTTGCCTGGTAAACCGAATATTGCAACATTACCTACCAGCGCTGTACAATTGTTCTGTCCTGGTGGCCTCCAAGCATCCATCACCCAGCCCGCAATTGGTTCTGCTGCCGTGCTGGGTCCAAATTCCTTGCAGTTTGTGTATGCTTCTCCGGATGACGAAGTGGAAGCGAACATCACGCTCCCCTATGAAGTTAAGTGTGAAAGGAATGTGATATGTGCAGGCGTGATGAGAATTTGGCTTCACGAAAATATTTTACGGTGCCCGAAGGATCACCTGTTGTACGATGTGAAACCGGGGGCACGACTAAATGCGACCCTCGATACTGGTGCCTCTTGTGGTGGTGCTCTGCGTGCGCGTCTTCGAACGCGGAATGCTGCAGACATCAAGTTTCATGATGGAGTATCCTTTACATTTAATGCGTCCGGTAAAGAAGAAGATGTAATCTTTAACGCTCGCTTGTATTGCGATGACATGACTCTCTGCGATGTTACATTTGCCCTTATCGTCACAAATGAACCACGGCCGAGCCCTACAGAAGCCCCACATACAGATTCTACTCCGGCTCCAACTGCCGCTCCTATTGCCATTTGTAACGAGCAGTTTAATTTCACTGTACCGGTAGGAACAGAGTTGCGAGGCAAATTGCACGTAGAGGTCGATGGATGCGGCCTTGTGACGTATCATCAGTCTCTTTATTCCTCCAGAAAGAACCTTCAACTAAATATTATTGGCGATTTTGTCTACTCGGCCCCAGCGGAGGAAGCTGTTGATAAGCTTCCAGTTGATGTTTCATGCGTCACTAAATTTTGGTGTCTTACTTACATCACAATTACTTCTTACATAGATTTGACGCCGACAGATTCTTCCACTACTCCAGCGCCAACCACTGTGCCCGTCCCGGCGTGTGCCAACGTGTATTATTACCAAACAGCGCCTGGTGTTGCCTTAAGCGACTCTCTTAACGGCATGCCAGGGCAGGACCCATGTGCATATGGTCGTTATTTTTCTTTGATTTTTCCGCCTAGCGTGGGAAAGCTGGATTTGACTCCTATTGGTGACTTTCTTTATCGTCCCGAAAGAAATGAGGGGTCATGCCACTTTTCCTTTAGCATGTATTGTCTTAATAAACTGTATTGTCAGGGCAATGCCTACATTCTTGTGAGCAGTGAACGGACATTACCTCCAAGTGGTGGTAAGAACGGGAGTTCCACTCCTGCGCCGTCGCCCCCAAGTGAGGTGAAAAATAAACAGATTAAATGCCGAGGGAAATGCAATGAAAAAGCATGGAAAACTTATCCTAACCCGGCGATATGGGATAATTCACCTGGTGCTGGTTACGCACGGCGTGACGGTCACGCTGTCGATGAGATTCAGGTGGCTTGGATGAACAATTCTATCGTTATTACTGTGTACACAATTATCGGCAACCTTGGTGTGCGCTTTCCGACCTTTGAGCCTCTTAATCGCACTGTGGGAAAGTACTTTGAGCCGAAAGATTTTGAGGGGGTTGTACAGCCATCGTCGCTAGGTTTTGAGCTGAGCTGCTTGGCCAATCAAGGCTCCATTGGCATGGGAGAAGATGTGTGGCGCTGGAAAACTCTTGGAAACGGGACTGGGAGTGGATCCGTTGGGGCATTATACAATAAGGGCACGTCATGGTATCAGAAGTTTGGTGGAAAGCACATTGGG